CGATGACCAAAATGGGATTTTTTATTCGAAACCTCCATCGTCAACTGAAACAACTACACAAAGAACAATCAGGTGCCTATACGAAAACATTTATCGTTTATCGCGGTCAGGGGCTGTCCCAACTAGATTTTGATCATCTAATCGATACGAAAGATGGTCTACTGTCGTTCAATAATTTCTTGTCGACTAGTAAAAAAGAACAGGTCGCCGTGGAATTCGTTCAACGTGCCATGCACAAGAATAAAGACATCGTGGGTGTCCTTTTCATCATGACAATTGATCCAAGTAAAATTTCAGCTTCAACTACTCCATTTGCCCTCATCGATGAATACAGTGCTATCGAAAGCGAAAAAGAAATTCTGTTCTCAATGCACACTGTTTTTCGTGTCGATGATATCAAACAGGCAGTCAGCAGCAATCGTCTATGGGAAGTTCAATTAAGTCTCACAGGCGACAATGATCCACAATTGGCTACTCTTACTGAACGCATAAAAGGGGAGCTCGTTGGATCCACAGGATGGCATCAACTGGGTCATCTAATGCTAAAAGTGGGTCACTTAAATCAAGCTGAAGAACTTTACAAGGAACTACTGAAGCACTCGTCCAGCGACAGTGATAGAGCACATATTTATCATCAGCTTGGAGGGTTGAAAGACGATCAAGGACAATACAAAGAAGCAGTTTCATTTTATGAAAAATCACTTGAAATCGAGCGAAAAACTCTTCCGGAAGATCATTCTTCATTGGCTCCTACCTACACTAACATCGGTGCAGTGTATTACAACATGGGTAAATACTCGAAAGCACTTGAATTTTACGACAAAGCACTTAAAATAAGAGAAAAATCTCTGCCTCCGAATCATCCCAATTTGGCTACTTCCTACAACAACATCGGTCTTGCGTATAGAAACATGGGTGACTACTCGAAAGCACTTGAATTTTACGAAAAAGCACATAAAATCGACGAAAAGTCTCTGCCTCCGAATCATCCCGATTTGGCTACTTCCTACAACAGCATCGGTCTTGCGTATGACAACATGGGTAACTACTCGAAAGCACTTGAATTTTATGAAAAAGATTTAGAAATCACGAAAAAATCTCTGCCTCCGAATCATCCCGATTTGGCTACTCCCTACAACAGCATCGGTCTTGCGTATAGAAACATGGGTGACTACGCGAAAGCACTTGAATTTTACGACAAATCACTTAAAATAAGAGAAAAATCTCTGCCTCCGAATCATCCCGATTTGGCTACTTCCTACAACAACATCGGTCTTGCGATTGACAACATGGGTAACTACTCGAAAGCACTTGAATTTTACGACAAATCACTTACAATAAGAGAAAAAGCTCTGCCTCCGAATCATCCCTCATTGGCTACTTCCTACCACAACATCGGTGGAGTGTATGACAACATGGGTAACTACTCGAAAGCACTTGAATTTTACGACAAATCACTTAAAATAAGGGAAAAATCTCTGCCTCCGAATCATCCCGATTTGGCTACTTCCTACAACAACATCGGTGCAGCGTATGACAACATGGGTAACTACTCGAAAGCACTTGAATTTTATGAAAAAGATTTAGAAATCACGAAAAAATCTCTGCCTTCGAATCATCCCGATTTGGCTAGTTCCTACAACAGCATCGGTCTTGCGTATTACGGGAAAGGTGACTACCCAAAAGCACTTTCATATCTAGAAAAGTCACTTGCCATCTTCAAAGAATCACTCTCACCGACGCATCCGCATATTAAAACATTGATAGATAACATTGACTCTGTGAAAAAGAAAATGTAAACGTGTTTTTTTTCTTCTCCATTCCTCAATAAATTGATTTTGATTGCTATTCATCTCACTGCTTGGCTTTTCTCGGCTCATTTTCGCGTACACGCGCGCGAAACCAGGGAGACCCCCTGTAAGCCCGCAATGGGTACACGCAGAGCGGACCACACCGGACTGGTAAGACATGATCATAGGTGTGACGTACATAAACGGCGACAGGGACCTACGAACAGACGGTCTTCCCGAGTACTCCACTGCTTTCTCCAACATAGGCACAAGAGATCTCCCTGGGGCAGATTACGAAGCCATCTGACGGGCTGTGATATAAGTTAATACCTCACTCTACTACTACAACAAAGAAAAACAAAAAATATTCCATCTGGAATAGATTACATGTCTACCTTATCAAAAAAATAACTTGAAAAGTTCTATTGGCCATTAGAACTTTTCAATTTATTTATATTTATTCGCATCTCAATAAGCAAAAAAAAGAGACTAAATTTAGTTAGTAACTGTCTTATCTCTCTATTCTCCTTCTATATAAAAAAAACTATAGCAACATACCCGATTTGAAATTGAAATATATAAAACATTACGTAAGTTAATAATACATGTTAACATTCAAATTTGGAACATTGTAAATAATGATACGGTACCGTATGATTGTATAAATTGCATTATCATAATTATGTTTCAATAGAATGATTTCATACAAGAAAATCATTCCTTATATATGTTTCAGACATGAACTTTTAGTCAATGATGATCATTGTTGAATAATTAATCAATGACGTTACACTGTCTTTTTTTTCCACCAATTAAAAGATTGATGATCGAAATCGAAAAGAAAACAATTCATTCTCATGAACTCAATAATTGATGAAATGATCATTGTCATCTTTGTTTTCGT